TATCCACCCACTGGCTTTATCCCATGCCTACTTCCTGTATTCTCCATGTCTTAATCTTTCCTGACAGCTTGCTCCTGCCTGGGTCTTTGCCGTTTCTCCTACTACCTATCGCCTCTTCCTCCTCCTCATGTGGCCTGGATGAATGACTACTTCTAAGCTACTTCCCTACTTTCCTTTTAACTGTTTATTTTGAGACAGGGTTTCTCTTAGTTAGCTATTCAGGCTGGGCTTGAACTTGTGTAGCCCAGGCTAGCCTTGAGCTCGTGAGAAGTTGTGATCACAGGCTACACCGCTAGACTTGGCCGTAGGTTTTTTTCCTCTTTCCTGGTCCCTTCCTTCTTCAGGGTACATCCCATTTACTCAGGAACCCTGCTCGCTGTTTCCCCCTTTAAAAAGTCTCCCACCCATGGCGAGGATTGTCTCATCCAACTTGTCCCAACTGTGATGCAAGCAGTTTGTTTTCTTCCTTTGACATCTGTCACTTTGCTAGACCCTGAACTTACCAGGAACACCCTGTCTCTGCCACCAACCACAACGCCAGCTATCCAGCATGTCCTGAGAGAGCATTGATTGGATGAGCAAGGATTGGCCGCTGGAGCATGGGAGCCTAGGAGGACCTGATCCAGGACAGATGTCAGGACACTGGCTTTGTGGTTTTGTGGTACGTCCTGAGTCAGCCATTCACAGGTGTCCAGGCGAGCAGCATGAAAATCTGAGAACACTAGATCCAAACTGAAAATAGAGTTGGGAGTGGTGTGTCCTTTCCAGACCACACTTTGGTTCTCTGGGCCATTCCACACAAGCTTCTCTAGGCAGCCCCTGGGCACCGGCACTCAGGTGGGCAAACAGGACGATGGGCGGCCATGCTCTTGTGCTTACTGACTTCACGGTCTAGCTCGGGACCGTCTCCCAAGCACATACTGCAGTTATGAACAGATCAGGAACTGGGGACAGTGTCACGGTACTCAGTCAGGCCCAGTGAGCTCCACCCTCCTGCAGAAATGAGAAGGATGAGGAGGATAGACTGGCCACAAGCAGGCAGTACTGCACAGCATCTCTGGTGCCCTTTGCCCTGTGCACATGTCCTCGGCAGAGGCGTGGTGAACGGTCACCCTTTCATTGATGCTGCTATAGCGCGAGGCCTGTTCGCCGTGCATCTCAAAAGGAAAATGGCTCCCTCCAGGGTCAAGTGCTTACAGCCCTTTCTAAAAGATCTCAATTCCTTAAATGAGAGTTTCTTCTGTTGTGATACAACCCACGGTCTACACAGCATCCCCCAGGCTGCTACCGCATCGGGCTTGGGGTCCAGCGACGTTTATGCTGCTTGCTGTCCCTGGGTGACAAAAAGCACTTTGTGTTTGTCCTAATTAGTTGTAAAGGCCAACTTGACAAAGCCTACCTGAGAAGAGCGTCTCATCGAGGGATTTCCCAGATCAGAGTGGCCTTCGGGTGTGGCTGTGGGGATTGATACAGGCAGGCTGGCCCTCATTGGGCAGCACCAGTTCTGGGAAGATGGTCTGGTCTATAGTAAAGCAGCCAGGAAGCAGAGGCCAGTGAGCCAACACACATTCCTCCATCATTACACTTTGCTTCAGGTTCCTGCTGGAATTCCTGTCCTGACTTCCGTCAATGATGGACGCTGAAACAAACCCCTCCTCTAAACTACTTTAGTCACGGCGTCTGTCATAGCAGTAAAGATGACAGACACTAGACCCATCGCTGACATAGAGTCCATAAGACTGTGGCTGCTGAGCATGTGATAAAATCTCCAGCCTTTCATGGTTATTCTACGTGGCATGTGCCAAGGCCCTGTGGCGGGAGACAGGATAAGCACAAAGCTCTGAAAGAAGATGCTAGAAGCAGTTTACTGCCTGGAACATGGTGTGACATGCAATAATAGGAGGTGGCCAGCCCTGGGGTCCTTAGTAAATAAGTGACTTGAGGTAGCCCCCCTCTCCAGGGGAAGACTGTGACAATGTTACCTTCACATAGAATATGCGGAATTAATGAGCTTAAGGGCAATCCAAACCCACAAAGGAAAAGATGAAAACAGCCAGCATTTTCTTCATACCCGTGGCCTGTTGGGCCACTCTGCACTGTCTTCATCAGAAGTGGAAGGAAGTCTTCCACACAGTGCCTCAAACAAACATGGGACACATCTCAGTGGCTGCCACTGCTGTCAATTGTCTTCGGTTCAAAAGAAGCCAGTGTCCTTAAGACACCTGTGCTACCCAGAGTTTAATTCAGGAACCCGCCTTCTTGTGTGGTTATATAGCATAGGGCTAGAAGGTTTGGGGTGGGGGATGGGAGCATTAACAGGGTCCTTAAGGGAAGGCTGAGAATCTATCCTGGATAACATCTAAGACAGATGGGGGCCTACCTCTCCCTGGGGTGCTGGGCAAATGTTAAGCAGCTTTAGTAATCTTAAAACGACTTTTCCTGTTAGCGATTGATCCCTTATTGTAAGTTCTCTCCTAATGCTCCTGCAAATTGGCAAAGATTTTAGGGGGCCTGGCATTACCACTCCCTAATTAGCAGCTGTTAGGTTTCCCCTGGCCGGTCCTGCTGCCTTGAGAAAAAATACTGTCAGTCTAAAAGCCAGCCAGCCAGGAAGGGTGTGGTAGCACGCACCTCTCCTGAGGCAAACGCAGGAGGGTCTCTGTCAGTTCAAGGCCAGCCTGGTCTACATAGTAAGTTCCAGGACAGCCAGAGCTACACAGTGAAATCCTACACAAACAAATAAGAAAGCTGGGCCACCCTTATGCTGGCATCCGCCATTCTGGATCCTTCACAGGAGCCTTGATAGAAGGGCAGAACGATCACAGTTGACTCCAGGGGACCCAGAGTGGTAAACTCTAGATGACCCATCACCACCTGGCCTAGCTAACAGCTTAATGTTTTTAGCGAACCCTCAAATTGCCATTGCCTGTGAGCTGTACTATGATCGGTCCCAACGTAGTTGTCTCTGCCTCTATGTGGCTGTTCAGGAGTTGGCTGGGAGACATCCTGACATGCTGTCTCATTGCTGCAACTTTAGGCCCAATAAAGGCTTCTCTCGAGTGTTCTTTTTTAAATCTACTCTTTGTAGCCTGGGCCGAGCTGGTGGTACAACAAACAGCAGCAAAGACAGCAAGCAAGGGCTGCAGAGATGGGGCAGGCGAGGCGCAGCGGCAGCAGGCAGGTCAGAGGGCCACCTGCGTAAGGGAAGACCTGGGGCTAGGCTGCAGTGGCCAGTGCAGCAAAGGGAGGTGGGAAACAGGGGGGCCGGAGAGTCCAAGGCTGAAGTCATGGCAAGTCCCAGTCACCACAAGAGTTCCAAAGACTTGCCAAGCCTGCAGAGTCGAGGGTCTCAGACACCAAGACCAGGAAGCGAAACTCACTGCCCAGACCTGCGGGAAGGAAAGGGGTGATGCTGGCTTCCGCTGTCAAAGGCTGAGGAACCCACACTTCAGGGTGGGCACAAAGGCTGTAGAGAGCCGCTGTCCTGCAGCTGTAGTCTAGGAGTCCCACCTGATGCTTTTCCTGACTGCCGCCACCCCACCCCACCCCACCCCCCCCCACCCCCGCCATTGCTCCTCTGTTGACCAGTGCTGAGGAAACCCCCAAGGTGGCTAAAGGCCTGGGCTGGAAAAACTGAACAGTGTTTCTATTCAGACAGAGCCAGGCGATCTTCTCCACCTTGTGAGCTATAAAAATGAGCTGACTTGACTGGGAAGCCCCCTCCCTCTAATCCATTCCGGCCTCCGGGGTCTGAGCTTTTCACTCACTGTCTACTATGTAGGGTCTATAAAGGATGGAATTATCCTGGACCTTTGTTCCCACCTCAAAAAAAAAACAAAACAAAAGTGTCCATAAACGGGGGTCAGAGCTCACAGAGCTTCCCTGAGAAGTGTATTTGTTTGTTTCGCTCTGGTGGGGTTTTTTGTTGTGGCAGCCATTAGGTATTCTGGGTTTGGGGAGGGTTTTTCCTTTGTTTGTTGTTGCTGCTGTTGTTTAGGTGAGCATGGCAGTGTACTCCAGCCATCCCAGCAGGGTACACGAGCGATCCCAGCACTCAGGAGGCCAGGCAGGAGGCTGTGAGCTTGAGGCCAGCCTGGAAAAACAACAGCGTGAAACAGAATGCCTTCGGTTAGCCCAGAGGGCGGAAGCCAGGGCCACAGGAGAGCGCTGGCTTCGTCTGAACTGCTTCCTTCACTAGGAGCCCCTGGAAGCCGCTGTGGGCTTTAGAGTGGGCTGCCTCATTGCCTTAGGTTCCAAAAGCATCACTGAGAGGAGAGGCAGTATCGATCTGAGAGCCTGCGGCCGCCGCTGCTCCCAGGAGGCCCCCACCTTTACCCTGCGTCATTTCACCGCAGTCTTGGGCTCACAACAGAGCTTTTCCCAGTCTTCTGCACTGGCATTCAACAGAGGAGGAGGCAGCCCTAGGGCTCAGAGCCTTCTCGGGAATTTCTCTCCCCTGTCCCAATTCTCCAGATTCAATAATCAGCAACTGCTAAAATGGGGGTGATTTGGGACCCCTCCCCAGGCCCCCAAGCGCTCTCCGGTCCTTACCTAGACTCCGGCCAAGTGTGCAAACAGCCAGGAAACAGAAAACCAGAGGGAAAATTAGGCAATATAATGGTGGCCTTGTTTGGGTGCCATGGCTTACATAACACAGTCGTGCCTGCTTCAGCCTGGCCGAGGGCCTGGAGCCACAGACAGGAAGTGCCAGGGAAGCTGGGAGAGCACTGGCAAGAAGCCAGCGGTAGGGCGAGGAGGCATGGCAGGAAGGTTTTTGAGATGTGACCGTCACGCCCAGGGAGGCCCTCCATCATCGCCCCATGGCCCTTCAGCTGGCAGGTCCTGCAAGACCTGGCCCAAGGCTTTCAAAACTCTAGGGTTTCCCAATCTCCTGCACGGGCTCTCCGCCTCAGTTCCCGTAAGGAGGGCTGTTTGGGGGTGTGGGGAGTAGAGTGGGGTGGGTATAAGAAGGACCGGGGAAGACACCCCATCTAGGAAGCTGGGTAGCGGGAGAGGCCACCATGCCCAGCGCTGCTGTTGGCAGGATGGATGTGAGGGTGGCTCTGACAGGTCTCTGGGCTGGGTCAGGCGGGACTGCAGATTTTCAGGCTAAAGGGACCCAGCTGTTCAAAGAGCTACTGCACAGTGGGCCTGCAGGAAGGGGAGGCGGGTGGGGGGCAGAGGGAGGAAGGGAAGGAGGAGGGCAGCTGGTGGCAGGGCCTCCCCTGGCCTGGGGAGGGGGCAGGAGGAAGAGCAGCTGCCCCTCCCTGCCACCAAGTCTGACGCTGATTTCCTCACAGGTGTTGTAGCCCTGATGCTACTCCAGTGCTGTGAGTACCCACCCCCTCCTGGAGGAGGTCCTAGCACAAAAGAATACTCTTCCAGTCTCTTCTGCAGCTCACGGGGCTTGGGAATGCTTGTTAAGCCAAGGTGATGGGTATATGATCTATGTTTTAGTCTCCACTCTCCCATTTATTTGAACTTTTTCAAAATGACAGACTTTAAAAGGCTCAGATTCAGGGAAGACCGCTACAAACTGCCCTGGGGGACAGCCATCAGGAGCCACAGGGGTGAGCGAGGCTCACTGTTTGCTCCCTTGGCCAAGTGTAAGCCGAATTAGAGTTAGAACAAAGGAAGGAACCCCTGGACCCTGTGACGGTGAGCCCCAGCTTATGGACTGCCTTTCTGGACAGGTTACCAGGTAGGGTCAGCCCCGCCCTGAGACAGAGGAGAGTCCCACAAAGCCCCCCTTTAATCAAAGACCCCACTGTAGAGTGAGCCTGCTGGCAGGGCATCTCTTGCCGCTGGATGGCGCAGCCAGGCCTCTGTCATTTTCGGAAGCCACTGCCTTCAGGAAGTTCTCAGTCCTTAGCCATTCTCTTACCAGCTTGCATCAGGGAGGGGAGGCTGGACCAGTTCCTCTCCTTTAAGACTTTTTCATTTCGCTCACTGTGTCCCTACCCTCAGGCCCACACCTCCACACCACCTTGGCGCTCAGTCCCAACCCAGGTTTCTCCCTCAGGCTCTGCATACAAGCTGGTCTGCTACTACACCAACTGGTCCCAGTACCGGGAAGGCGATGGAAGCTGCTTCCCAGATGCCATCAACCACTTCCTGTGCACCCACATCATCTACAGCTTTGCCAACATCAGCGACAATGAGATTGACACATGGGAGTGGAATGATGTGACACTCTACGGCACGTTGAATGCACTTAAAACCAGGTAGGGCCACAAGCTGGCCAGGGAGGGGGAGGAGGATACGTAGCTGGGCTGGTCCGGGGCAGCAGCGACCCAAGAACCCCCCTGAGGGTGGGCTGCCAGGGACCCTTGGTTCCGGCGGGAGGGCAACCTGGGTGGGTGACGCTGACATGGTGGTAAGTTGACAGGAAGCATCTCCGAGGCTCAGTCCTGTCTCCACAGCCTCATCTGTGGAGCATGGTGCCACTTGTGAGCCCCTTTGTCTCTCGTTGCCCACTGTGGGAACCTCTGAGTCACCACCAGGGAGCCCGTGTCCACCTACAACACCAGTGTTGGCAGCAGGTACCTAATCCTGCCTGGCTGCAAGCAAGAACTCTTCTAGGGCTGCAGATACGGGGTTGGAGGTGTCGATGGCAGCTCACTCCACCCCTCTTCCCCCCACTCTCCTGCCCCACAGAAACCCCAACCTGAAGACCCTCCTGTCTGTTGGAGGATGGAACTTCGGCTCACAAAGGTAGGACTTGTTGCCGGGGCAGGGTGGAGTTAGGCAAGACTTGTTGAGGGTTATAGTTATTCTAGACTAGTGGGCACACGCAGGCCTCCGCTGTGGCTGTCTTATATGTATTTGAAAAACCTGGGCCAAAGACGGAAAGGGATTTAGAAAAAAAAAAAAAAATGAATGCTTTCTGCAATGGTTTTGCCTTTTTATTTTATTTATTTTTTTGATAAGTTGCCAGGCTAGGCTATCCTCAAACCTTGGACAATTCTCCTGCCTCAGTCCCCAAGTGCTGGGGTTGTGGGCACATGCCAGTGAGCCTAGCTCTTGCAAAGCTCTTCAAAGTACATCTCAGGCATGAAAACACCTTCCAAGTTGCTACCATGAAGGCTGAGAGGAAGCTATGGGGATGGAGAGGGCTGAGACCATTACAGGCGCCTTGGAGCCGTGAGAGCAGAGCCAGGGCTGGGAGAGGGCTGGGAGACCACCAGGAACCTTCTCTCCTGCTACGTCCATCACAGCATAGATGTTGCAGTTACCCCATTTTACAGACAGGCAAGTGCTGACTCGGGTTGCAACCTGCTCAAAATGGCAGGCCAGTCTGGGATACGAGGAACGTCAGCCCCTAAATACAAACCTTTCCAAGTTCCCAGACCAGATGCTGTTCCCAGAAGGCTCTCCTGGGTCTAGCAGTTCAGGCCCCCTGCTCCCAAGCCCTGGCAACCCCATTGCAGGGGCAGGGTCCTTGGCATATGAGCGTCACGCTCATTCTGTGGTGGTTTTGTTCTAGATTTTCCAGGATTGCTTCCAACCCTCAGAGACGCAGGACTTTCGTAAAGTCGGTTGCCCCATTTCTGCGGGCCCATGGCTTTGATGGGCTGGATCTTGCCTGGCTCTACCCTGGCCCAAGAGACAAGCAGCATCTCACCGCCCTGGTCAAGGTGCTCGGCATAGGGCAGAGGTGTGGGGAGGGCATAGCACGGAGCTCTCTTCACCCAGGAACCTCCCAGGGATGAGCAGAAGGGCTTCAGTAAGGAAGCCGCCAGAGCCTCTGCGGGAGGTGGGGGCAGAGTCCTAAGAGGCCAAAGCCCGTAGCTCAGCAGGGTGCCCACTCTACATTACCTATTGCCCACTTAGTGAGGTGTCTATTGTCTAATGTCCAGTCCCAAACTGATGCCACCAGCTACCCAACACGCACTGTGTACACAGCTCAATCTGAGGGCTGGGCAGAGAGATAGTGTAAACAAATTATCAGCAGTACCATGGAGAATCTCTTTGACCTTGTAATTTCATGTAAAGCAAAATGCAGACACATGTACTCACCCACCACGTGGTGGCCTCTCCAAGACAGGGAATCATTAAGTACTGTTGGGTGAACATAGGTTATGAGGGTGATATTGGTCCAAACCATTAAAAAAAATGTGTATATATGCATATGTATATATGCAAGTTTGAGTGTGTGTGTGTGTGTGTGTGTGTGTGTGTGTGTGTGTGTGTGTGTAGGGAGGCCTGTGCAGCCAGAGTACCGAGCTGGCTGAGGGTGTCGGGATTGAAACACTTAACAGACCACCACGAGAACTGAAGAGGAAGCTGCTCCCTTTATTACAGAGAGTGATGGGCTTATCTACCCAAGCCAGGGGATGGGCTAAGCATAGGAGGAATCATGCACCGCCCACACCTGGGGTCAAGGCACGGGCCCTGCACACCGGAAAGTTATGAGAACAACCTTGTCTGATCAACCTTGAGAGCGCGGGAGTTCTACAGCTGGGTGGGCAGGGAGAGCTGTGAGGGGCAAGGACTTAAATTTCCCGACAGATGAATGTGTGAGTGCAGGGCTATAATGCTCATATGTGCAAAATATGTGTGGGAGCCAAACTCAGGTGTCCCCAAGCACTGTATCTGCCTTGTTCTGTTCCTTTGGGTTAAGGGTTCTCATTGGCCTGGAATTTACCAAGTATAGTAGGCTGGCTGGGCATCGAACCCTGAAGCTGTGCCAGCCTCCGCTTCTCAGAGTGCTGGGGTTACAAGCACTCGCCACTCTACCTAGCTTTCTATTCTTTCTCATGTATGTTCTGGGGGGGGGGACCAAACTCAGGTGGCTATCCCCCCCCAGCTCTCAAATCCTGAGGATAGGGCTGGGACAGACCACTCAGTCTGCCTGACCGCCAGGCCCATCAATGACCACAGCGGGTGAGGAGGTCAGCAAGACAGACACCCCAGGACCTTGATGTCCTCACATCTGCCTCTCCCTCTCATGCACCTGGCCCCTCCCCCTTCCCTGCTTGCCTCCACTCAGGAACTAAAGGCCGAATTCACAAAAGAAGTCCAACCAGGGACAGAGAAACTCCTGCTCAGCGCAGCTGTGTCGGCAGGGAAGGTGGCCCTTGACAGTGGCTACGACATCGCCCGGATATCCCAGTGAGTCCCCTGCCCTGGCAGCACCCCAGAAGCCACTGCAGGCAGCATTCTTTTCCCCCACCTGGCCCTAGCATCCCATGAAGACTCAGGAATTCCCAAATGTTGACATATAAACGTTCACAAGTCTCTCCGCTCTCCGTGACTCAGTTTCCCAATTGTTAAAGGGGCCTCAATGAGCCCGTATACTTTCCTTTTTCACTTGGAATGTTGTTGGCCAACTGAGAGCGTGGCTGTGAATGAATTTTTAAAGAGGCAGTAGAAGGAATTGTACAGTGTACCAGACATTTCAGGACGCTGTCTCCATGCTAAGCCCAGTGGAGTGCTGGAGTGGGGAGAGGCTAGAAAACTGTCAGACTGCAGGGGGAGGCCGTTCCCTTTCCTATCCTCCAGCCCTTTCTCCTTACACATGAGTTTGAGCTGCCAACAGCCATGCAGGATCTCTTCCTAGGGCACAGTCAAGTCATGGGAAACTCAGGAGTAAGGCTCAAGGACTTCAGTCCCCCTTAGGACCTTAGGGGTGTAGTTAGTCTGGTGTTTTAAACGTCCCACGGGAAAGATGCGAACCCATTTGTTCTGAGTCTCCGAAGCTCACGCTCTGCCTCCAGCCCCTTCTCCATAGGGCTGTGGAGCACTCCCGTCCTTGAATGAATGTAGGTTGAGCCAGCTTTTGATGGTTCTTGTTCCATACTAGGCTGTCCGTGGCATGTTTAACAGGCTTTTGCCAAGACAAGTGTGTCAGGGATGGGGGCTGATGTGAGGCAGAGAATAGCCCCTGTGTGTGCGTGCGCGTGCGTGAGTGTGCATGTGCGCATGTGTGTGTGCGTGCGTGTGTGTGTGTGTGTGTGTGTGTGTGCGCGTGCGTGTGTGTGTGTGTGTGTGTGTGTGTGGACTAGGAGCCTCACGGATTAGCCCATTCTCACCCTTGGGACCACCAGGACCCAGAGCCCACACCTCGGAGTGGCTCTGGAGAAGCGGTCAGAACAGCAGTCTCTGGAGCTTTGGGTCAATGTCCGATTTCTCAGATGCCTGCTTCCCATATCCTGCTGGGTCTAGGCTGTGAAATCAAGGACATTTCTAACTTCCCCCCTCACCTCCAACTCCTTTTTCTCAGACACCTGGATTTTATTAGTCTCATGACCTATGATTTCCACGGAGCCTGGCGCCAAACCACAGGACATCACAGCCCCCTGTATCGAGGCCTAAAGGACACTAGTTCTGACAGATTCAGCAACGTGGTAGGTTCCTGGAAGGAAGATGGGAGGGAGACACAAAGCACTGCCCCCTGCCAGTGCACCCTCCTCTCTTCCAGTACATTCCTTATCAGGTAGGTTACAGAAGCCATTGCACAGATCAGGAAACTGAGGAAAGTCTCGCTGGGGACCCAGTGAAAGCAAGAGGGGACAGAAGGAAGAGAGGTGGGAGCCTTAGAGGTTCCAGCCTGTCATTTATTTATTCACTGTGCAACCGAGCCAGCCAGCCAGCCGATTTCTGTCTGTCGCACATTAATGATCCCTTCTTGTGCCTACAAGGAGCTTTTCAAGAACAACCTTTAAAGTCATTCTTTTAACTGGCATTATCAGTTCCCAGAGGGACGGGGATTCCCGATTGTGCCCTATATCGCCACTGCACCTGTCAGGCAGCCCTGGCTGCGCACCACGCTGCCCTGCTAACCCTTCCTGCTGTCTCTGTCTTACCCCAGGACTACGCCGTGGGGTACATGCTGAGGCAGGGAGCCCCGGCCAGCAAGCTAGTGATGGGAATCCCCACCTTTGGGAAGAGCTTCACTCTGGCATCCTCTGAGACTAGGGTGGGAGCTCCAATCTCAGGGCCAGGATTACCAGGCCGGTTCACCAAGGAGGAAGGGATCCTCGCCTACTATGAGGTAAGTAACGATGTTGCTTTCACAGGCTGCCCCAGGGAAGAGGGGCCTTGCCTCCCTAACCACACACAGTTTCTCCTTTGGGAATAAAAATGCTTGTTGGCCCTAGCATTCTCTAGGAACACCAAAGGGGAGCTTAACCCTCTTATCGCGGAAAGCCTCCAGCAGGTCCCAAGCTCCTGAAATATCCCTCTGGCCTCAGACCTGGGGTCTTCATTCCATTCCAGGAAAAGCAATGGCCAAGAGTCTCTGTGGGTGTAGGCCTCTGATGCCCCAAGTGGTCTGGGGCCAGCCCTGGGTATCAGCTCACATTCCTCACATCCCAGTTAAAGATGGAGGAGGCAAGCAGCTTCAGACAACAGCAGCTGAACTCTGGGACATTTGCATCTGTTTTTCATAAATTTGCATGAAGCCTGCAGCCTGTAGCCTCAGGAGAGGGAGGCTACAGGACTGCAGGGTGACTGCTGGAGACCTGACAAGCTTCACCCCGCCCACCCGCTCTCCTCAGATCTGCGATTTCCTCAAAGGAGCCCAGGTGCATAGACTCCTTGGCCAGCAGGTTCCCTACGCTACCAAGGGCAACCAGTGGGTGGGGTATGACGACCAGGAGAGTGTCAAAAACAAGGTAGGTGTCCCGGAAGCCACACCCCAGAACAAAGAAGCAGCTAGATTTGCTCTCCTGCGCCAGGGAGGAGCTTGGGTGTGGGGGTCTTTTGGGGAAGGCCCCAGAGCACAGTTCCCCCACACCTCACCTAGACAACCAACCCTGCCTGCTCCTGACCTCCTCCGCCAGGTGCAGTATCTGAAAAGCAAGCAGCTGGCAGGAGCCATGGTGTGGGCGTTGGATTTGGATGACTTCCGGGGTTCCTTCTGTGGGCAGAACCTACGCTTCCCACTCACCAGCGCCATCAAGGAGGCCCTTGCTACGGCTTAGCTTTTCTTTCCCACCTGGTAACCCATACCTCTAGCCAGGGCTCTGGCCACTTGTACTGCTAAATCCCCCAGCTGGGCCTCAGCTGCCCTCCCCTGTAGGGGCCACGGCTCAGCCCTGGTGACCAGAGAAGCAGGGTAGGACCATGGGGTCCTGAGAGTCACGGTGTGAGATGAGGTTCAGTACACCTCTGCTGAGCAAGGGAAATTCTCAGACTCCAAGGCCGGCACAACCCCTGTCCCTTCAGCTCTCCTGACCAAAGGACGCCAGTTTGGCAAGTTATACCATCAACTAGGCAAACATCTTACAAGATGCAGTGCCCATACTAATTATACCCTCTGCAAAGCCCGGCTTGAAGCCTTCACTTAGGAACATGATCGTATCTCCATCCCACTTCATTTCCTAATTCCCCAGCGCCTCAATAAAGTACAAGAGCTTAGCAATGTGTCGTCTCTATGTGCATGGGACATGGTGCTCGCCTCCCTATCTTTTCTGGATTCCTCTCTCTCCAAGACTTGGGAATCAGAGCTGACAGAAGTGAGGTCTTTTTGTTATTATTTATTTATTTTATGCATATGGTTGTTCTGTCTTTATGTATGCCTGCCAGAAGAGGCATCAGATCCCACTATAGATGGGAGTCAGCCATCATGTGGTTGCCAGGAATTGAACTCAGGACCTCTGGGAGAGCAGCCAGTGCTCTTAACCTCTGAGCCAACTCCCCAAGGGGGTCTCAATGGGAGGTGGAAACTTAGGCTTTACCTAAGTGTGGCTGACAGCAACCCAGCTACTAAAGCCATCGTCCGGCAGACTTCCAAACTAAGTCCCTTATGGAAGGAGACTGAATGTTTAACCTTGCGCATTTCTTCTGATCCTCTAAAGGTGGAGAGAGATGACCACAGGCCAGAATGGAAGGCGGTGTCTTTCACGTACCCTTCGTGCTGGGGGGTCTCTCTGGACCCTTGAGAGCTGGCCTTCTAGCCTTATACTCTTAAGTGTCCCAAGGTTCATTATCTGAAAGGCAGTCCACCCAGCTGCTGACTGAAAGCTGTCAACAGTTAGGTGCTTTCCTTGTCCCCAGCTCTGTCTTGTACTTACTCCTGCCCCACACTATTCCCCCAGCTCATGAAGAGATCAAAGCTTCCTTGCCCCAGCTGGCCTGAGACAGGGGGTGAGAAAGATTGAATAGTATTGGCTCAGAAGACAAGCCAGTTTCTCAGCCTTTGTGAGGAGGGGACACTCTCACCAGGGGCTTGGGGACTTCCAGAGCCCGGGCATGACTTTATTCAGGGAGCCTGGATGGGATGTATTCTAAACCGACTGGGATTTGATGTTTGGATTATACGATTTATCGTTAGATGGCTTGATGTCGGTGACTCCACATTGGGACATAAAGAAGCCAGTACCAATCTGTTGCCCTGAAATCTGAACCAGCTGGAGCTGGGCACACGCAGCTGTTTCCAAGGTTGCCACTCTGTGAAAGGCAAGGTGCCTGCCCAGGGTCTTAGGGGCAGAGGATGCCTGGCACATCTTGCTGGCTAGTGGACCAAGCGGTCCCTAACTCCTGCCCACTGTCCACGCTACCAAACAAGGTCTTTGAGACCTCAGAACTGTGAGCTCCCTTAGGAAGCTCCCTGTCCCCTGAGTGCGTCCCTCCTCCTTCTCCCAGTACGGGATAGGTTCTCAGGGCTGACTCAGGGTCCTGCCCAGTTAGTCACATTCACTTATAGCTGCAGAGTCAGAAGCCAGGGTGGAGATCGGGTCTCCCTACCCAGCACAACACTGAGTCACCTCTCAGAGGACATGGACAGCCAGGCAGAATTGGACCCACAGGCTCATAGGCTCTCTGCTGACATTCCATAGGGGAACAGTTGGGCTAGAGAGGCAGCCATACTGCTGTGCCACTGTCCTCACAAAGAGAAAGAGCCAGAATGCTGTTGGCAGCCCTAAATAAATTATGAGTCCATTTATTCCTAAATTGTGGGATACACCATGCCTGCTTACCAGTGTGTGAAATCTAATTCATCTAATTCAAAGAGGTTCTGTGTATCAAAGGGGAAATAAACCTCTTTGACACTCTGAAGCCTCTAGTCACGTGCGTCCTTGTCCCCTCACCCAGAGGCTGTCACTTTAGGCTAACCTTGGCAGAGCCTTCCTTTTTATTTGGCTACCACCTATGGATGCACTTTGAAGATCGAGCTCCCTGTGGCTCTGGGTTTGGATTTCAAGGACAAAATGATCCTCCTGCTTCTGTGACTCGTCCTTTGGTCTGTGAGATCAGCTGGGGCATCTCGTTGCCCTCTGGCTTCTGCTCTCTAGCTGCTTATCCACCCCGTGATCAAAGACAGCCATTTCCCCGAGCCTTGCGCTGTTACAAGTGATACCACCCCAAACAGCCTCATCCGGGAGTCCAGAGTGGATGCCCAGAGCCACCAGCCAGGCACATTGGTACGGACACCAATTCCCTGTCTCACTTTTTCAACCACTGCTCTGCTCTACTCTCCCGCCCACAGTGAAGATCTTGACTGCTCCTCCTCCTTCCTGGCACATGGTATTTTTCTGGATTTCAAATTATTACCAATCTTAACATCTTGAATAAATGAATCAGTGGCTAGAAATTTGGCTGAACCAGCTCTGCTTTCCACACTGGGAAGGTCTGTGTCAATGCCCCCTTTGAAGAGGCTAAGAAACTCAAGTCTGCTTGTTTTATCCTCTAGGGTGGGGTTCTCAGTAGGCCTGGGGATTACTGAAAACAGAGGCTTCCTCCGCCTCGTCACAGAAACAAGAACAGGCTTACTTGCTATGGTTTGAATGCTTCCTCTAAAACTCCTCTAATTGCCACTAACAGCATTAAGATGTGAAGCCTTTAAAGGAGTGGTTAGGCCATGGGACGCTTCCCTCGTGAGTTAGTTAATGCCATTATTAAGGAGTGGGTTAGTTATCTCCAGAGTGGGAACTGGGTAGCTGAACACTAACCAAGACAGTCAGTCCCCTTTCCTGGGATTCACACTAGAGCACCTGCCTCTGGCCAGCCTCACCTTGGGCATCTCAGTTCTCGCCTCTGAGGGGGCCTAAGCTTCACAGAGTCCCCAGAGACTGGGGGACCAGGGTAGACAGAATAGGTAGAAGCAAGGGTTCTCACAAGCAAGGCTGGTTCCAGTGTCCTTGATTCCAGGCTCCACTCCATGGATACTCGGGCCCAAGGGGGCCCAGAGGAAAACAGACTCACGGAACTGGCTTGGTCTCCTTTCCCAGATGGCCAGTCTCATTACCGAAGCCGAGCGATGTCCCCGTTCACCTGTCTATGCCCTCCCCGATCTGGGCACTGGACTGGCACCTTGGCTGTGAGGTCTAGCTGGGGTGATGGCGAGGTAGTATGCTCCTCAAGGGGCCCTTGCAGTTCCTCCCCCAGAGCTATTCCTGGCCTGGGTGATCCCTGCCCCCCTGTCCCCCTGCCTGACCTGACCCCACAGCTGGGAATGGTGAGCCAGGGGGCGGGGCAGCCCCTGCCTATATAAGTTTGGACCTGGGTTTCTCAGGCACACTGGAGGTCCAGACCAGCTGCTGACCCTTAAGTACTCCAGCTTGTCTCCCTCTGCCCCAACCAGCTCAGAAATGACAGGGAAAGCCACCTCTGAGGCTCCTGTCTCCAGTCTGGGGGAGACAGCGCCTGAGCCTGCCAAGGTGCCCACCATAGAGCCTTCTGGACAGGCAGCAGCACCAGAGTCCACGGGTCAAGAGCAGGCACCAGAGCCACAGAAGCCTGAGTCTCAGGCACTGGACCCTGCGGCCCCTGAAGCCTCTGCCAAGCCAGCAACCACTAAGTCTGAACCTCCTAGTGAAGGTTCCTGGAGATGTGGGCAGGTGGAGAAGGGAGGCAGGTAATCGGGGCCGGGGGAGGGGGGGCAGACTCTTCATCTACTCTGTCCCTCCCCCCCAGATGTCCCCAGTGCCCCATTGCAGCTGACCTTGGAGGATGTGAGCCACAGCTCCTTGACTGTGAGCTGGGAGCCCCCCGAGAAGCTGGGGAAGCTGGGGCTTCAAGGCTATGTATTGGAGCTCTGTAGAGAGGGAGGTGAGTATCAGGCTGAGTCCTGCTTCCAGCCAGCTGAGGCGGGCTAGGACAGCAGGGACGAGCCCAGTCCCTGCAATGGGTCAGTCCAAGGGGATATAATGGTCTGAGAAGGTGTAAGCAGTGGTCTTAACTGCCTGGTTTCCACCCATGGCTCCGTGGGGACCTCTGCAGGAAAAGAGGTGCAATGACTTCAGGAGACCTCCCGTCCTCCAGCTCCAGGGAGCCTCCGAGTAATGGGTGGGGGGCACTGGTATAATGAGAAGGGAAGGAGGTACTAAATCTCGAGGACCATTCTCAGGGGGGAGTTAATGCAGGAGAAAGAAGGGGGCAGGAGATACAGAGGAGGGACAGTAAAATGGTGAGGAAAGCTAGTTAAGGTAGTCCCTGACAGCCACGTTCAGCCTGGCTTCTGTCTCTGCCCCTGCCTGCTGTGTGACTTGGTGAATGTGTCCAACCTTCTCTGGCCACTGTCGCAGAGCTCTAACACCAGCTATCTTTGAGGTTACTTCATGCTACAAATTCGGGGGAGGGGGCAAGGGAGACTATGGCCCAAGAGCGAGGTCAGCCTCTGTCCACCACACTTGAGAAAGAAAGAACGTGAGAGGGTAGCCCCTGCCATGTTACTAAGACCCAGACATTCCCCTCTGCCTCAGCCTCAGAGTGGGTGCCTGTGAATCCCCGGCCTGTGATGGTGACCCAGCAGACCGTTCGAAACCTGGCCCTGGGGGACAAGTTCTTCCTGCGTGTGACTGCAGTAAGCTCCGCAGGCGCTGGTCCCGCAGCTGTCCTGGACCATCCTGTCCACATCCAAGAGATCGTTGGTAACATCCCTCCCCTCCCCCCCATCGCCTCTCGTTCACGGGCTGGATGTAACGGGGAAACTGAGGCCATGGCCAATGGGACGCAGGCAGCCATTTCCCCCATCCCACACTCACATGCACAAGCCACATGCTAACGTGCCTTGCCTTGTGAAAGGCTCAGGTTCTTCAGAAGCAAGAAGGAGGTCTAAGAAGCCACTTCCCTGAGTGGTCCAGCCCCCCCCCCCCCCCCCCCCCCGCCTCCACCACCACCACCATCAAGGAGCAGCTCCTTGCTGCCCAGAGATGAAGCTCAGGCTCCCAGCCCTAGAATCCACACACTCTTACTTTTTCCTGATCTTAATCCCTGAAGCCATGGAGTTGAGTTTCTATTTCCTCAAACCTGGGTTCCAGACTCCCCAGAGGCTCTGAAATACAGGGAAGCCCCCCATGCACCCCGATGTACTCTGGTCCTAGAGGGAAGAGGCAGCTGGGAAAAGTGTGAAAAGAGCCCATGGAGGCCTTTGTGCCTCCGTGAGGACCTGGAGGCCAGCTGCTGTCCCTGTTGCT